TAAAACACAAGTACTACTAAGCAAAGAAGTAGTAAATAAGCTCTGGAGCTTTGTCAAGTACTAGGAGGGCATAGGCCTAAATAGTTACTTGGTTTAATATAATATTCTATATAGTGTAACTCTTACAACTCCTTTTCAAGTTGGCTTTTCTTTCTGCCCTCACTACTGGATTTTTCTTTCAGAATTTTTACCAAAAAGTGGGAAATCTGGCATACCCCCTCCAAAGGATCGACATTATTTACCTTTCCAAATCGGTAACGTTAGTCACGAGAAAACTACGAGACGAGTATCAGACCTACGATGGATGACATATGTTAAATTCAAGAGAAAAATAAAAACTTCGACCATTCTCCTCACATGATAAATGAAATATATTATAATACGGAGATAAAGCAAATGTGGGGTATTCTTTATTTAGTATTATATAGAATTTTTAAAGCCTGGCACAGGCAAAAATAGCCTTCATGTTTTTTGTTTTTTGTTTGTTTTTCTTTTTGTTATCTTTTTCTTTTTTCTTTTGGTTTACATTTAGGTTTTGTAGTTAGTCCCTCCTTTTTCTTTACCCCTTTTTAGTTTTTTCTTTCATATATCTTGTTGTTCTTTAGGCAAGGATTATAGAATCCTCTTGCTTGATAACTAAAAGAAAGGAAAAAATGAATCAAAGATGAAGCTAGAAAAACAATATTGGAGCTTGTCATGAAAGGGTGAAGACCCTTTTATTATGAACTTTAAGTAGTCTGATAAGTGATTTACTTCTGCTTGAAGTAATGCAGCAGGTCTGCACTTAGGTGCCATTAGGGTAGCTGGATGATGCTAGACTTAGTTGTTAAACATCAATGTAATTGTAGTAATTACTAGAATATTAATAAAGTACTAGCATGACTGCCTAAGGTTAAAAAAAAAAAAAAAATAGAATTAGTTAAAATTAAAAATTACAACAATAATAAGTAGAATAACAAAGCAAATTTATTTGTAAAGAGAGAAAACAATATATAAAAAGGTAATATATGTAAAAAAGATTAAGTATGATAGAAAAAATAAAAAATTAGTATATAAATAAGACTTTTTTGTAAAATAATTACAATTATCAAAAATAAAGTAAGTTGAAAAAAAAATAAACTTAATCTAAGCACTAGAACCAAAAACAGAAAACATATAATATTATTAGTCAAGTTTTTGAAAAAAATAAATAAAACAAAAGGAATATACTATATATTAAGAAAACTTAGTACAAGAAATACTATAGCAATTAAATATATAATAAATAGTTTGCTAATATTAGAAAAACTAAATAGAAAAAGACTAAAGTATATATAATAATAAACTGTTAAGTTTATCAAAATAATAAAAAAGAAATTCAAGCATATTTAGCAAGCTGTAGTAAACAAAAAAACTTACAAAAGAAGATCCAAAAGGTAGCAATGATAACAGTATGAAATAGTCTTAAAGAAAATAAAAAAAATAAAATTTTATTATAAGTATTATATAAAGCATTATTTAGAGAACCAAAAATAGAAAAAATTATAAATAAAAAGATATTGATAAAAGAACTCATTATAAAGAAAGTAAAAAAAATTCAAATAGATTTTAAACAAATAAACAATACAAAAATATATAAACTTAATAATAAAAACAGTATAAAACATATTCTATAACTAAATAAAAAAATTTTGATATAAAAAAGTGTAAGAATAGAAGAAGAAAACTAATATAACAAGAAAAATAAAACAAGATATTTAAGTAAGAAGAAGATCAGAGAAAAGATAAAAAAAAATAAATTAGCAAAAGAAAAAAAATAAAAAAATAAAAAAAATAAATTAAATAAAAAAAGAAGCTTGAAAAACAATTAATATATATGTTACAAAAAAGAAAAACCCTTCTGATATAGTTTTAAATAGTTAAATAAGCAGTTTATTTCTAATTAAAATAATGTGACAGGTTGCATTTAGACATTATTAGAATGGTTGAGTAATGCTAAACTTAAGTATTAAGAAATTCTATATAATTGTATATGTATATAGTTTTAAAAATCTTAACAAAGTATTAGTATAATTACTTAAGATTAAAAAAATAAAATAAAATAAAACAATATAAGTATTTCTTCTTTTTTTAATAAATTATCAACATTTATATAACAAAAAAATAATAAAATAGGATGTGGTGACCTAGTGAAGTGATCAGATTATCAATCCTCCAAGTGGTAGATTGGGTGTTTAAATCCTATTGACAGTAAAAATTTGGATAATCACCTATGTAATATTTGTATTACAGCAACTGTTACTAATGATTGAATTAGGATACCTGTAATAGCAGTCATACCAGTATGACTAGCAGGTTATGAGATATCTGTATAAGTATAGCATTATACAGAGAAATGCAAACTAACAGATCAAGTGGTGCAAACACTAGATAAGTCCTTGTAGCCATGTAAATGTATTGAAATTGGATAACAAGAAGTCCATTTGAGAAGATCTGAGTAGAGAGGTAGCTGGATTTTTGACAGTCTTACTGTAAAGACTAGCCTAGAGAAATAGATACCAAGATCATAGTATCTAATCATAGTAGCCAGATGAACAAGAACCTTTAGGTTAGAAGTTTTAGAGATACCACCAACCAGGCTGCTAGAATAAACTAAAGGAAAAGGATATTGGGTCGATCCAATATATTGATAGACTGGTTATAGTCCTACATAGGCTATCTGAATTGAGAGTTTGATAAAAAGGCAGATGAAAAGGCAGAGATATACTAAAGTTTTAGGGTTATGCTGTAAAATAGATACTGGGGTCTAAGTGAACTCTATAAAGATATAGCAGTTTAATGGTTAATCCTAATCACAAATGTTAGTTCTGTCATAATGATACTTAGATTAGTTATAAAAATGAGTACAGAAGGCTCTGAAAGGTTTACTTTGAAGATAAATTAGTCTTAAGGTTGAGATGATGATTTGACATCTAGGTATAACTTAGTAAGTTAATACAGATTATAGATTCAGAGGGTTTAAAATAAAACATCCAAGCAGGGGTATTAGATATAGCAATTAGTAGAGAACCTTCAGGCAGACTTCTTAAATAGGTAATATAGAAAAGTTATATATATAACCAATTGTACTCTCTTCTGTAGTGGTTCATTGAACCACAATACCAATAAGTAATTAATAAAAGTCAAAAGATCAAAGAGGTTATCTTAATACCAAAAAAAAAATATAATAATAATAAAATATTTAATTTATTATTAAAAAATCATATATAAAATAATTAATAAATATTTAATATTGTTTTTAAAAAATTATATTTATTTATAGTTATAGTAACAAATATAACAGAAGTAATATTTAAGATTGTGTTTAATTGCTTATTAATTCAAGCAACTAATGTTACTTTGAAACCAACAATTTTAGTAACTAAGCAAATAATTTCATTAATATAAAGTAAATTAAAAGAAGACACTATATATGCAATCTTATACTTACAAAATTAAATTAATAAAAAAAATTTGGTAATATATTAAATGTATATAAATCATTTGCTAAAATGCTAAAATTTTGCAAAGAACAAAACTAATATGTTAGGTAGTATAAATCTATATTGCTATTTAGAGTTAGAGTTAGGGTAAGGATTGTCGATCAGTTAAGGCCAGCCAAAACAGTCAACACCTGAGGTGCCTCAGTTATCGCCTGAGGCAAAAATTGATTTGAGGCATAACATATATAGAGAGAAAATAATTTGCACGCAGCTTTCCAGAATTTTATCACAACTGACATTTTGAAATTTAATTTATTCGAAATTTTAAATTTGATCACGATAACGATAAAATTGTACATATACTCACGTGAAAAATAGTCTATTTCTAAGACCAGGAACTGGTCGGACTGGACCAATAAATACTATTGGACTAGTCTTATTAGAGACCGGGACGGACCGGACCAATTCAACCCTAGTTAAAAGATATTAGAATATTAATTAACACATATACTAAATGACCATTTAGGCTTTGAAATAGTGTTCCGCAAAAAAGGAATGAATGTAGTATTTCACTAAGGGTACCAGAATAAATTAAAATTACCCAAAATTTTATTAAGTTAATCTATTTTAACTTTCTAAATAAAAATATTCAGCACTATAAAAATATATATAATTATATATTTTTTAAATTAATATATTAATTTTTAAAACTTGTATATGCTGTGGACATTCTCGGACATGTGGACGTTGGACATGGTCAAAAAAAATCTTGAACATAGTAGACGTGACAACACTGCCACCAGCAACAGACTTCGCTTGTCGCTCACGTGCGTTTGCAGCCGGAGCAGTCTTTCAAACTCGTTGCATAAGCCGGATCTAGGTTTTGATCTGGTTTATGCAACGAGTTTGAAAGACTGCTACTGGCTACAAACACGTGAGCGACAGGCGAAGTCTGTTGCTGGTGGTGTATTTTCCATATTAATAATACGTACAATTTTAGTGAAATACTCATTAAAAATACCGGATCTATTCGTATCCTTTTTTGCGGAACACTACTTCGAAATGACCTAGTCATTTGTCAGGGTCATCTCAGGTCATTTACCATCCCTTTTCCACTATTTTTCAACAAGTACTATTAAAAGTTTGGTTTAATTAACTTCAATTAAGGACCGATCCACTCCCCGGTTCTTAGATTAATTTTATAATGAAATTTTATATTCTCAAATGAGAACATAATTATATCCCCAAAAATATTTTAACTTTCTTGAGAACACTAAGAACATTAGATATTTTACCACTGGATCTAATCATGTGGCCGGCACTTTGTCTGTCGATAAGGCTGTGCTCACACTAGCTAAAAAAAGAACCCGCCAGTAGAGTTTTGATTATCTACTTTTTTTATCCAAAAAAAGTATTCGCACATGACTTTATTCTATTGTCATTTTGATTGGTTAACATTAACTATTATATTTGCATTTTTATTGGGTAACATTCTTCCAGCGAACTTATTCATTAGAATCACTAGAATACTTGGACAATATGGAAGCCCGTTGGGGTTCCAACTTTCGGTCAACAGTACCGGGAGACAATATAGCAATAGCACATGCAACATGTGAATTAGGATGGTCGCAAATGATACACGCAGAAATAATTTCTGTTACAAGTGCTATGAGGAAAAATTCTCGTTGGTCTGGTATGAGTGTTAGTGGTTTGAACATGGGTGGTTTAGGCATGAGTATGGGCTTGAGAGGCAGAAGCTCTGTGGCAGAAATTGGTTATCGAAACCAGGTATGTTGGCAGTTTGACGATTTAGTTATGCTAATAATTAGAATGATTCGTAATTTTACTCTCAAATCTAATAGGAAAGCCCATTGTTGTCCGGGTTTGCAACTCTTAGATCGCAGTTGTCAAGTATTTCAAGTATGCGCATTTTATAATGTCTGTTAACTTATATTGTAATATTCGACTCAGTCTTTTTATTTTTTTATATTTGATATTGCAGAGGAGACTGGAATTGATGCCTTGATACTATTGGAGCCATTTTTGGAGGTTATTCGATCAGGAGATACGAATGGTCCAATAACAGCATCCGCTCTTGGCAGCGTGGAAAAATTTTTGACGTATGGGATACTTAATATTAATTCACCAAATTTGCCAATCGCAATGTCAATGCTTTCGTCAGCAGCAACACATTGTAAATTTGAAGCTAGTGATTCTGTTTCTGATGAATTTGTGCTTTTAAAAATCTTGCAAGTTTTACGATTAGCTTTGACTTGTGAAGTGGGACGCGTTCTTAGTGATGAGGCACTTTGTGAAATGATGGAAACTGGATTAAGCATGTGTTGTCAAATGCGGCTTAGTGGTAGGCTAGCATTGTAGCTACGAATAATGTTCTTTAATTGATAGACAATTTTGCTATACTTTCTTTGTAATATCCATTTCAGAGATGTTACGTCGATCTGCAGAACATACAATGATAGTAATGGTGCAAACCATGTTTGAAAGGTACCAGAAGAATTATTTACGACGCTATCAAATTAATGACAGTAACATATAAATAATTTTTGATAATCCTAAATAGGCTTAAATCATTGGAGGAAGAACCTGCAACATGGCTACCTCAGGATGAAGGAGAAGGTGACAATGGGTCCTTTCAAGAATCTCAAGTGCGAATGGCGCCACCTGATCCGAAACTACCACGCCTACCTCTTTCATCAGAATATGATAATTTGGCACAGAATAATAATACTACTACACTTGCTTCTCAAAAAAATGAAATTGTAAAAGAATTATCTCTGGATGATGCAAATGATGACTTAATTAAATTGGATGAAAACGGGGAGGAAGTTCATAATGAGGTTATTCCAGATCAGGGACAAGACACTGGTATTGCAATTATATTTTTTTCTGACAAAGATTGTTAATCTGGGGTTTGGCCATTTTAGGCATCCTCTAATTTACTACAACTATCAAATTCATATCAATACCAATGTAATGACAACATAAAGAAACCACTAAACTGAATGATGAAGTCCAAGATAACGATGAAAAGGATTCAGGTATATAAAAATATTGATATTTGACTTTTTTTAAAAAATTATTAAATCATTTTGACTTTATATGCAAAGAACCAAAACCCTCCGGACTGCCCTCAATACGGGAGTTGCTTCGTGTTCTTATATCTTTATTAAATCCTCATGATCATCAGCATACCGATACTATGCGATTAATGGCTCTCAGCATTTTAAACGTTGCGTTTGAAGTTGGTGGTCGCACGATAGGACGGTTCGAACCTTTGCGCGCCCTTGCGGTTGATGAGTTGTGCAAGTACCTATTTCAAGTAAGTTTTTTTGTTTTTTTTTCTTGTATAATTATTTATGCAATTAAGTAATATACAATAAATACAATTTTAAGCTTGCAAGAACGGACAATATGTTACTTTTATCACTCACTCTACGCGTGATATCGACTGTTTTTGGAACTCTTCGTCCATATCTTAAATTACAAAAAGAACTTTATTTGTCGTTTCTCATTGAGCGTCTTACACCACCTGCAAGTAGTGTGAGATCTCTAGCACTTGATGCTGAGTTTTCAAACACAAGCACGAATGATTCTCCACTGCAATCTGGGACTTCTACTCCTAGTACTAATCGCGAACGCAATTTACGTGCTAGTAGTGAAACAGCAACTGCGACAGGCGAAGTGCGCGAGCTTTTGCTGGAATCACTCGGACAATTTGCCCGGGAGCCTTCATTTATGGCAGATCTATGGGTTAACTACGATTGTGATATAGATTGCGGAGATTTATTTGAAGAAGTTGTCAAATTTTTGAGCAAGGTCTTTGTCTTCCTATTATAATTTGCAAAATGGTTTATAAAAGAAACTAATTGTCTTTATTGTTTATAGAACTCGTTTCCGGAATCTACAGGATATTCCGTTAGTAATTCACATGTTATTTGTTTGGATGCTTTGTTGATGTACATAAACTATATGGTAGATAGATTGCAAACAGAGGTATATACAATAGTGTTTCCATATGTAAACACTTGAGGTCGGATAAAGCCACTTACTGTATCATAAATTTTCAATAGAAAGGCAGAGATCGCCGTTCGACTTGTGGATTGGCTTGGGATAAAATGTCAGCAACTGAATATAATGCTGGATTAAGGCCAATTGTAAGAAAAAAACATGCAACCATTTTCATGATTATTTTCATTGTTGGTTTGGTACTAAATTGCTAAATTTTCTTTGAGCAAGTCATATCCATCTGCATCAGACCTTTTGCTACTAAAACAGCAAAAGCAAATATTAAGAGAAGGGGCAGCAAGATTTAACGAAAATCCAAAAACTGGGATTGAGTTTCTTCAAGGTGATTCCTTTAGAAACAACCGATTTTATATAATTTCTACTGTTGTAGTTTTGTAGCTAATATGGATTTTTATTATTTTGGGTAGCAAATGGGATAATATATAATGATCCCGCTATTGACAAAAACACTAGTCTCGCGCTTTTTTTAAAATCAACTCCTCGTTTAAATAAAAAACTTTTGGGTGATTTTCTGTCGAAACCATCAAACATTGATGTACTTAAGGCATTTGTAAAACTTTTTGATTTTGAAGGAGTATGTATTAAATCTATAATTTGATATGTGTGAATTAGTAATTAAAGCTGTTATGTTTTCTGATATGTTGCACATGAAATTTTTAAGAAACGAATAGATGAAGCTATGAGAGAGATGTTGGAGTCTTTTCGATTACCTGGTGAAGCGCAACAGATTGAACGAATAATGGAGACGTTTGCCGAAACATATTTTGCCTCTGGGCCACGTAAGATTATTTTCTTGAATATTCCAATGATGCTTTTATGAATTCGTCTATAAGGATTAAATTCTAAAACTTTCAATTTAGAGGAAATTGCGACACAAGACGCCACATTTGTTTTATCTTACTCAGTTATAATGTTAAATACAGATTTACATAATCCTCAAGTTAGGGTATGTATCATTGTATTATTTCAAATAAATGAACGTACTTAATTAGATCTTTCACTTGAATACAGCGACGTATGTCGATCGAAGATTATATGAAAAATCTCAGAAACGTTAATAATGGCCAAAATTTCTCACCTGAATATCTAGTAAGCATTAAATCTTTTCAAGATTTTTGCAAAATGGTTCTTTATTGTTAATATTATTTGATACATTAGCATGCTATTTATGATGCCATCCGAAAAAGAGAAATCATCATGCCCGAAGAGCATGAGGGGCAACTTGGATTTAACTATGCATGGAAAGAACTTCTGCGCAGAGCAGAAAATACTGGTATAATCATATTTGTAAATGGATGAATACTACCAAAATTCTTCATTATTTATTCACTTGTTCGATTATTATTAGGACCATTGATAATATGTGATACCTCCTTATATGACAAGGACATGTTTACAGCAGTGTGGAAACCTACAGTCGCAGCAATTTCGTATGGTGTGTAATATATGTATATGAATAATGTAAACTAAATTTATTATTTTCAGTTTGAAATCATATATAATACCAAATTTTTTCAGCATTTAGCACTGCACCGAACGATGCTACTCTGCAAAAAGCCATTACTGGATTTCATCAGTGTGCATTATTATCTGCACAATATAAGTTATATGACGTTTTCGACTATATAATTATGTCTCTATCTAAAATGACTGGACTGCTAGGAGCTCATTATTCTAATGAGACTGCTAACAATCCATTAGTAAAAACTGGAAATACAGAAATTACAGTTAGTGATCTTTCCATACAATTTGGAAGAAATTACAAAGGGCAATTGGCTGCTGTAGTTTTATTTGCAGTTGCTAATGAGCATGGTAATATACTCAGAGAAGGTTGGAAATATGTAAGTTCTTTCATTATCCATGACTAACCAACAAATATCCATTTTTAACTGTTATTTTCACAACTTATAGATCTTAGAAATTATTAAAAACCTTTTTGTCAATTCTTTGCTACCTGCTTCTATGTCACAAGTGGAAGATTTTCTAGCCGGAACTACTACTATTCCATTAAAACCAAAAACTGCACCCCATTCCAAACAAGAAAGACCTCGTGACAATTCGCTCTTATCTGCATTATCGTCTTATCTATTATCGCCCTATTCAGGGAATTATGAATCTTCACGTAGTGACCCTACGGATGAAGAAATAGAATGTAGTATGTGTACAGTAGACTGTGTTTCTGTATGCCGTTTAGAAGAGCTTTTCGCTGATATAAGGTATTTGATCACTTTATATAAGAATATTGTGTTTGCTTATATACTTATGACCTTTATGTTGTTTGTAAAGGTTATTGGAGCAACCTTCACTTGAATACCTCATGAAAGCTCTCAAATTTATTGCAGACGGTAATACTGCTACTAAAATTGGTGACACGAAGATTGGATATCCTTCCTCATCTCCAGCACCCAGTCCAACTACATCGCAACCTCCTTTACGTGGTAGCTCATATGATCCAGCTGCAGTGTTTTTCCTAGAACTAATGATCAATGTCACTTTACAAAATCGGGATCGGATCCAGCATTTATGGTACTTTTTCTACTGTGGCAGCCAAATTTTTTGCGTCATCTGAAAGAAAATTTTTTTTGAATATCTATTTCCTAATGGTAAGTTATTTTAAAATAATTTAATTTATCGAAACCAATAAGGTAATATTAAATTATATCACAATTAAATCATATGAACTTGTCCTACATGGTCCTAATTAAGATTTAATAATAATTTAAATTTTGAGCAAAGATATTATCGATAAGGGTTCAGATAATTTGAGGCGTCATCAATCGAAACGTAGCATAATGATTTAAAAAAAAGTTACCAATATTAATTGTAACATGGTATTTTTAACAACTTAGTATAATAAACTATATCGAATACCAATATGGATAATTAATCAACGACACTCCAAGTTACAATTAATTTTTCATATTTTTTTTAATCTCATTATGCTACGTTTTTATTGATGACGCCTCATTATTTGAAGGTCGTATAGACATTCTATAAATTTTGAGGGATCAAAAATGCCTTTAAGTATTAAATTTGTCTGGGTCTTTATTAAATACGTTCACTTTTAACTAAACAAAATTTGCAATTTCACTTTTAACAGTAATTTAATATTAAAGTGAAACTGTAAATTTGTTTGGCTAAAAACGAACTTATTTCGATTTAAGATCTAGCTAACTTTATTGTTTAAGGTCCCTAAAGTTTGCAGAATCATTGCATGCCTTTAAAGTTATCCGAATCCTATTCAATGATGTCTTTATTCATGGCTTAAATCACGGTCAGATTTTAAAGAAAATAATGTGCCACTCGGAATGAACTGCTATGCGTTATGTTTAGAGGTAGGCCAAATGGCCAAATTACTAAACATTTGAGTGGTAGTAAAATTATCATAATCCGGGTGGTTCCTAGGCAACACCTAGACTTTAATTAGGACGGTTAAATTTATTGTATCGGAATAATTTACAAATCATTATGTAGGTTGAGATCGTGAGACTTAATTTCACTATCGATATAATTTTGGTATTGATTTAGATAAATTGAATAAACAAACGATATATGTAAAGTAACTTGCCTTTAGAATATATGAATTTATGATTTTTTTTCATATGACATTCTGCCATCACTAAACTAAATAATATGAAGCCTTTTAAGTACGATCATTATCTATATCTAATTTTATTACATTTATTCGTGGTTATCAGGCCCATACTTTTTGAACATATAACTGATATTCTTAGAGAATCTCAGAACAACAGTATTTTACTGGTAGAACGGACTGTAGTGGCATTATTGAGATTGTGTATTCGGTTAACGCATAAGGTAACATAAGTCCTTAATATTTATGTTGTTTAGTGTTTATTGAAAGTAATATTAATACTTATATAATTAGGATGAGATGGTTTCTGATATACTTCAAACTTTAGAGCTTTTAGGAGCTTTACCACTTGATGTAGTTAATTCTGTTGGCGAACAAATGATGGCTGGTATTTTAAATCTTATAAAATCAGATGCCGCCTATATCAGGTAAGATTTATATGATTGTTACGCGGTTTCATGAATGATCATGCGTATTAATATTAAATATCAATATTTTAGGGGAAAGCGACCTTGGAAAACAGTTTTTACGCTTCTTCACGCAACTTCAACACATCCACAAGCATCTAAATATTCTTTTGACGCAATTTCTTCATTAGTTCGGGAAAACAAAAATATCAATAGTGATAATTTTAATGAATGCGTCGAACTGTTGGCCGAATTTGCATCTGCTGCATCATCTGCATTAGAACAGGATTCACATCATGAGTCTTATCTGCGAACACCAAGAACTCGCATATCTAAAACGTATGTAAATTTACTTTCAAGTTTGGAGGATATAAATATACATTAATACTTCAACAATATTAACCTTTTATACATTATAAATTTTAAATTTCTCCATATTTAAGCCAATCGGCCATCATTGATAGGGCGCGAAAAGCTGTCGAGTTGTTATACATTTTGTATAATCAGATACCGAAATTGCTGGTGGAATCAGAAACACCCCCACGAGAAGGTATCTTCGATAGACTTAAATGTATTAAATTGAAATTTGACTTCACTAACCATTTTTACACTATAGCTTGGTCAACTTATTGGCTTCCAATTCTTACCGGTCTTAGTCAGCAGTGTTATAATCCATGCCGTGAAGTTAGGCAATGCGCCATCTCGTATCTTCAACGATCGTTACTTGATCCAGAGCTTGTATCACATGGTGTTACAGAATGGGTTGTCATCTTCGATGTAGTACTGTTCCCATTACTTGACCAATTACTCAAACCGGAGATTTTTCAAGCTGACCCTACTAATATGGAAGAAACTAGAATACGTGCTTCTGCATTAATATGTAAAATATTTTTGCATTATTTAAATAGACTGTCGGAATGGGGTGGATTAACTTCGTTGTGGTCGCAGATTTTAGACGTAATGGAACGTTACATGACAACTGGGCATAATGAATCCTTGGTATGACGGTTAATCTCATTACTATACAAACCTCCCTAAATGTACACCCCCAAGACTATATGCATTTAAAGAGAGTGTGAATTTATAGTTTGTAGTGGTTAGGACTGAGACGCAAAAGTGCATTTATAGAGGGTATGCACTTATAAAGTGTGCACTTAGGGAGGTGTGTCTACTTATATTTATATTTTTTAGAATTCATATTGATTAAATTTTTAACGATTTCACAGCGTGAAGCGGTTCCTGAATCACTTAAAAATATGTTACTGGTGATGTCAACATCAGGTGTTTTTAATCCACCAGGAACAACTCAAAGCGGTGGTGGCAAATTACAAATTGAATTATGGGATATTACTTGGATTAAAATAAACAAATTTTTGCCAAAACTCAAAGATGAGCTTTTTCCAGAAGTCCCACCTGACACAGAGTCATCACTTATATTAGACACTCAATTAACATCTATAGATGTTTCGGAAACGAACAATTCTAATATCAATGTAGAAAATAATGACTGTCTCACTAGTCAAGAACAAAGTACGTCTGTCAAGACACAAGAAATTGTACAAATCGAAAATATTTAGATCTAGAATTTTGTTTCCTTTGTTAGAATTTAATTTTTAATAGAACTTAATAAATATTTTTTTAAAATCATGCAATTTTCTCGAACTCTTTTATGGCTTGATCAATAATTTTTTAAAGTCATGCAATTTTCTCAAACTTTAATACTCTAATATCTCAGCAACACGTTTCTAAATTCCACAAAACATAATGCAATAATCAATGTCTGTTCATCGTTACGTGACGTGTTAAACAATGAACCAAAATTACCGGAGAGTCTACGGACAGTTCTTAGGGACAGTGCGATTCACGTGATATTACTAAAACCACTAACTGTCCCTAACTAACTATTCACGTGATTTGAACTGTCCCTAAGAACTGTCCGTAGGTTTTCCGCAAGGGAAAATATACCGACACAGCATACACGTGACTAATTCCGCTAGACCTAATCGCAATCCTAACCTTAATGTCAGCCATGCTGATTTTGCTGTGCACAAAATCACGTGTATGCTGTGTCAGTATATTTTCCCTTTCCGCAAAATTACTATCGCTATGTAATTTTTTACGCTCACGTGATGATAGACGAAGATAAGCCAATAATAGATCTCGATTTAGTGTAACGTTACGCGCCTTCGTTTTGACAAACATCACTTATAACTCAAAGTCTACATAAAAGTTTTCCTTGAATGATTTTACTATCATAACCACCTTAATATAGACTTTAACCCTAACCTAAATGAATTTAAAGAATTTTGTCTGATATCACGTGAGCGTAAAAATTTTGTAGAGAAAATAGCATGCGCATATGATCCAACCACATTGAATCATATGGGCTATGTTCTGAGAAAAATTTAAAGAGTTGTACTGCAAAATTTTATTAAGATAACAGAACTTGTTCTTAAGTAAAAAATTTTTTTTTTTATATTTAATTTTGGATTAGTCAAGCTTAAAAAACAAATTTCAAATTACAAAAAATCCCAATTAACCAATCATATTACAAGATCAATTTCAATAACCAATCAAATTTCAAGATCAAAAATGCAAAAATTTTATAATTGTCCGGAGCGTAGCGGAGGACGCTCAATTTCTATGCAAAGTGATACAAAAGTTACGTTTTTGATGCACCAA